GATAGTCTCATCATTAGATGGGACATGGTCAAGGAAAGAATCAGTGAGCTTGGGAGACAGGACAATAGAAACTTTCCATACTGAAATGAAAAGAAAAAATAGTGAAAATACCAGAATGGAACATCTAAGAACTGTTGGCAATTTCTAAAAGGTATAACATGAGTATATTGGGAATACCAAAGAAGAAAAATAGAGTAGAAATATTTGAAATTTATAATAGCCAAGAATTTTCCAAAATTAATGACAGACACCAAACCACAGATCTAGGAAGCTCAGAGAACACCAGTCAGGAAAGATACCAATTTATACCTAAGACTTCTATGGAGAGAATTTTCAAACTCTAATAGAAGAGTTGATGATCCTAATGAAGAGACATTCCCTGTTGTTGGGTAGACAGTTTAATATAAAGATATTAACTCTCCCTAAATTAATCTATAAGTTCAATGTAGTCTAAAAATTTCAGTTTGTATGTTAACTAAACTTACTCTACAACTTACATGCAATAATGTTAGTCTATGAATGGTTAAATCAACTTCTGTTTAAAAAAGGGAACAGATGGGCACATTTATATCTGGGAAATTAATATCTGACAAAAGAGGCACCTTAAAACAGTGGGGGAAAAGAATATACAAACAGCTTATACAACTTAATAACAAAAAACACCCAAACAATCCAATCCGAAAATGGGCAGAAGACCTAAACAAGCATTTCTCCAAAGACATAAAAGTGGCCAATAAGGACATGGAAGAATGCTCAATATCACTTATTATCAGAGAAATGCAAAGCAAAACTCCAATGAGGTATCACCTCACACCAGTCAGAATGACCATCATTAAAAAGTTCACAAATGATAAATGCTGGAGAGGGAGTGGAGAAAAGGGAACCCCCTCCCCATGCCGTTGGTGGGAATGTATTTTCGCGGAGCCATTATGGAAAACAGTATGGAGGATTCCTTAAAAAGCTAAAAATAGACTTACCATATGATCCAGCAATCCCCCTCCTGAGCATATATCTGGAGGAAGCTCTAATTTGAAAAGATACATGCACCCCAATGTTCATAACAGCACTATTCACATTAGCCAAGACATGGAAGCAACCTAAATGTCCATCGACAGATGACTGGATAAAGAAGTTGTGGAGGGAGGGTGTTTGTGTATATATATACACAATGAAATACTACTCAACCATAAAAAAGGAAAATAATTCCATTTGCATCATCATGGATGGACCTGGAGGTTGTTATACTAAGTGAAGTCAGACAGAGAAAGAAATATTATGATATCGCTTACAGGCGGAATGAACTTATTTACAAGACAGAAGCAGACTCACAGACATAGAAAACAAATTTTGAGTTACCAGGGGGAAGGGAGGTGGGAAAGGATGAGGTGGGAAGGGATAAGTTGAGATTTGCAGATACCAACTACTATATATAAAATAAACAAGTTTCTACTGTACATATAGCACAGGGAATTATATTCAATATTTTATAGTAACCTATAATAAAAAAGAATATGGAAACAAATATATCTATGTATATGTATAACTGAAACATTATGCTGTACACCAGAAATTGACACAACATTGTAAACTGAATATTCCTCAATAAAAAAAAACAAATAAAATAAAAAATAAAAAGCCTTGGCAAGAGCCGTGGGCTTTAATTTAAAAAAAAAACAATTAAATTAAAAAAAAAACAGTGGGGAGAAATGTATGGTTCAAAATATTAGAAAAACTGGTTCACCATCTGGAAAAAAGAAATTCCTACCATTGTGCTTTGTAAGCCTTGTGGTTGCCCAGCCTCCAGATGGGAGAGAGAGCCTGGAGATAGTGACAGAGACATAAATGGTTTATTGGAAAGAAGATCTTACACGATCGAAGCAAAAGGTCCTGGAGAAACTCCCCACGGGGTATGACAGACAGCAAGCAGGACAGGGCAGCAGTCTGCTACTTGGGGGAGAAGGAGGCTACTACCATTTATAGGGAGAATTGACGTCAGATTGGCTCATTAGTTACCAAGGAAACCAGCGGCTGGGGCAGGAATCAGGCATGTAGGCAGTTACTGATCAAGCTCTATAATTAAGAGGATGGAATAGCCATGTGAGTGAAGCAGGGACTGGTCGAGCAGGGGATGTACAGAGAGCAGGAGGACAGCCATCTGAGTGGCCTGACCCTCCACCCCTGTGCACCCTGTATGACCCTAACAGTCCTGGTCCACCCCTCTTCCACAATATCCCTGGCATCAGGTATGTAGGGGGCACTGCAACCAAATGCCACCAATGCAATACAGACAGCAGCAGCTGAAAAGAGTATCAAGAGTAGGACACCTAGTATGCTAACAATAGGGACTCGCCAAGAAGTGGGCAATTTTAGAGCCAGGCACTTGGCATGTGGGACAGGAGAAAGGTGAGAGTCCTCAGTCGTCCCCACATGGTCTCATTAGTTAGGCTGATTTTCTATGGAAACTCACTGTAGACCTAGCAATCAGACACATTTCCAAGAGAGGCCACCATTGTCGCCCAGTCTGCAAACAGATTCCCTCCACCCAGGCGTGGGATGAAATCTGAGATGTTTAACAGGCACATTACAGGGCTGACCATTACGCAGTACAGATATGACCATTATGCAAAGCACAAGCAGTAAAACCATTCTGCAATACCACCACCCTGCCTGTGGTTTTTGTCCTGGTGTGCAATACCATACCATATCACCTGTCCACCCTCAGCCCCCATAGCCTGTGCCAAGCACTGGAGAGGTGACAGAACAATGGACCCCAGGGTTAATATAATGGTGCCTTCTCCGGTAGGGAGCCCAGAATAATTACATTAGTAGTCGTAGGTGGGACCACATAGAAGACAGGTGAAATCTGTAAGCGTCTTTCCTGTTCCCCATGACAAACCCAAACCACCGGGGCTTTACCTGCCAGTTCTAGGGCCCTTTTATAATGTGTCCCCCTGGGGGGTGGATCCTTTGGTGGGGACGAAAGTGAGCTGTTGTCCTGACCGTAGTGTGTAAGCCCTGGCTCCAGGGATGCTCAGTTATAGCTGGGAGGACTTGAGTGAGCCTCCTGGTCCACGTGGTGAGAGAACAGGTTTCCTACCTCAGCTGTTGTTTAAGTAGTTCATTCATCCTTTCACTTAGCCCGGCAGCAGGGGGGTTGTAAGGCAGGTGGAAATCCTAAGTGTATGTTATTTTTATCAGTCTGTTCCTGAACTTCATGGCCAGTGAAGTGGTTCCTTGGTGGCTGTCCATGGAGTCCCTATGTCACATACAGCTGTTCTAGACCCTAAACAGTGGGTTTTGGCATTGCTTGACCACTCAGGTAGACCTTTTGTAATGTCTTCCACCTGTAATGCATCATAATGGCATATAGCTGTTGTTCCATCACACCGTATCATTGCTCACCCCTTCCAGAGCTGGGACCAGAAGCTCAAGGATACTCTTATTATTTTGCCGTTGCCACAGCCTCCAACAAAACCCTTTTGGGTAACTGGCCACGTCCAATTCACAAGCCTGTCCTTGAGTTAATATCCCCAAAGCCTGTGTCTGTAGTTGTTCAGGGGTGGCGTGTCAGGGGTATGCTAGTATTTTGTAGATAATCCAGGTCCTTGTGTTCTGTCTGTATTCACCAGCCATTCTCACGTAGTCAGGTAAACCCTGAGCAAGGGGTTGCTACTTTTAAACTGGAAAGAGACCCTGAGGTTAACAGGACATGATCAATATAATAGGAGACAAAGACCCCTCTCACGGCAGTCAGCTGCCACAGGGCCCCACGTGCTAGTGGACGGCCGCCTCGGGATTACTCTGCAACTTTCTGGTCCTTGCCCTTATTTCCCCACATCTCGGCACACTCCTGGGAGTTTCCTCGGCCTCCTGGCTGGCTCACCAGTTGTTGGGCTGCATCCCGCAGGCCTGCAAGCCTTGTAGTTGCCCAGCCTCGAGATGGAAGAAAGAGCCCAGAGACAGCAGCAGAGACATCAACAGCTTATTGGTTAGGGGATCTTACACGTCTGAAGCAAAGGGTCCTGGAGTGACACCCCTCCGTGCACCACAGAGGGCAGGCAGGACAGGGCAGCAATCTTTGCTACTCAGGGGAGAGGGTGGCTACCATTTATAGGGGGAATTGACGGCAGGTTGGCTCATCAGTTACCAGGGAAACCAGCAGCTGGGGGAGGTGGCAAGCACGTAGGCAGTTACTGATCAGCCCTGTAATTAAGAGGATTGGATAGTCCTGTGAGTGAGGCAGGGCCTGGTTGAGCAGGGGATGTACAGAGAGCAGGAGAACAGCCATCTTGAGTGGCTTGACCCGACACCCACCCAAACCAAGTTACAAAGATAAGCCCTAGATGGGTTAATAGACCCAAATTGAAAGGCCAACTGTAAAGATAATTTTTAAAAATGTAAAAGAAATAGTTTTTGTGAACTAAGGGCAAGGAAGAACTTTTAATATTTCAAAAGCACAAATTATACATTAAAAACTGTGTACTGGGATTACATTAAAAGTAAAGATTTCTGTTTAACGAACGGTGTCATGGACAGAAGTTAAACAGATTGCAGAATGATAATTGACAGTGTCAAGAAACAGCAAGTGATTAATAGTTAGAATATACGAGGAAGTCCTGCAAATCAACAATAAAAGGGTAATAACTTCAGTGGAAAAAACGAGCCAAGGAAATAAACAGGCAAAGTCCAAATGTTAATAAGCACATGAAAATAACCTCAGAATCATAATCAGAGAAATGCAAATTAAGGCAGTAATGAGATATCACTTCATACTAGTAATGATCGACTGGCAAAAATTAGAAAGCTGGATACTGCCAAGTGATGTCAAGGATATGGAGGTTCAACTGGTACAGCCATTTTGGAGAGCAAGACAATTATACGCAGACCCTATGACCAATGAATTTGTGCATTGATCGACTAAAGGGACATGTACAAGGGCTATTCATTGTAGCAGTACTTGTGGTGAAGTGTGGCAGGCCAAATAATGGCCCCCTAAAGACATCCACATAAAACGCCCAGAACCTGTGAAAATGTTCATTTACATGGCAAAAGGGACTTTGCAGATATGACTAAATGAAGCACTTTGAGATAGGGAGATTATCCTGCATTACGTGGGTGGGCCCATTCTAATCACTTGGGTCTTTAAAAGTGGAAAACTTTTCAGCTGTAGTCAAAAGGAGATGCGATGGCAGAAGAATGATCGGAGAGATGTGGTGTGACAGAAATTAAAGACATAAATATACGGAGAGTTAGTCATACCCTGTTCATGGATTGAAACACACAATATTGTTAAGATGTCAATTCTTCTCAAGTTTACCTCTGGAGTCAACACACTTTCAGTAAAAATTCCAGCAGGCTTTTGGACGAAATTGACATACCAGTACTAAAATTTATGTGGAAATGCAAAAGACCTTGAAAAGTAAAAGCAATTTTTAAAAATTTATGTATTTATCTCACAATATCACATTTTAAAAGTTGAAGTATAGTTGATGTACAATATTATGTACAAGAATATAGTAACTCACAATTTTTAAAGGTTATACTCCATTTATAGTTATTGTAAAATATTGGCTATATTCCCCATGTTGTACAGCACATCCTTGTAGCTTTATTTTGTTTTATACCTGATAGTTTGTACCTCTTAATCTTCCACCTCCATCTTGCCCCTCCCCTCCCCTCTCCCCACTGGTAACCACTACTTCCTTCTCTGCATCTGTGA